TCCTGAAATAAAGAAATTTACAATTACTACGGATACATGCGATTACGCTATTGGAGCTGTTCTTTCACAGCAAGGCCAACCAATATGCTTTATTTTAAGAACATTAAATCATGAGCAGAAATATGCGACGACAGACAAGGAATTCCTTGCAATCGTGTATGCAGTGACTTATGTATTTTAGACCATACACATTCGAAGCAAAATTTAAGATAGTAACTGATCACTGCCCGATTATCTAGTAGTACAGAAATGCCGGTCCTACCCCACTTGGTGAAAGGAAAATATATACATACACACATATACAAGTATATATGCGTGACTGCAGTGACCGTGGTTTTGTGATTTTGCGCTTTTGCAGTTTTGTAGTATTAAGAAAGCGCTCGCGTTTTAACTAAAAGTGTGTTTTTTTTTGTTGTCCGAGGGGGAATCTTACATAGAGACTGATATTCATTAGTATGCAGTATGCACGATTCGTACTGCCCGCTAAGGGGTACACCTCTCTCGGGTCCACGCCCAGTCAGGGTGTAAAGTGTGTGAGTGTGGTGGGACTTTTTTTCGTATATGCATGAGAATTTTTTTAAAGCACATTTTGTTGATATTTTTTATTTAAGTGCAAGTTTGTATGTACATTTTTGAAACCACATAAATAAGGAGCATGAGAATTTTTCGAAGTCATCTAAATAAAGTGCATGAGAATTTTCTGAAACGGCATTTTCTTGATATTTTAATTTAAAGTGTACGAGAATTTTTTGAAACCACATTAATAAAGCTTGACGAATGTATAAAAAGCCTACCATTAAAAATATATTTCATTAATAAAAATTTTCATAATGTTTGTAACAGTAGATGTTCAAGCCTTCAAAGCATACAATAATAGATTTATTGTTAAGGAAATAGCTGTGGTCTTCAACAATGAAGAATTTCATTGTTTCCACATCAAGACTCCATTTGAATTTTCAAACCTGAGTAAGGATAATCAAAGGCAAGCGGGTTATTATGGTCCTATGGAAGTGATAGTTTCAAAGCTGTAAGACACTATTTGACATCAGCATTAAAAAACCAAAAAGTTTATGTAAAGGGAGAAGAAAAGAAATTGTGGATAGCGGAGTTCCTCCAAAAGTCGGTTTTTAACATTGAAGAGGAGAGTACAGAGTGTAATGGAATGAATATTTCTAGATTATACAATTTACACCTAGATGCTGTGCTATGGTAGTATCATTTTCATAACGATGATTGTAATATGAAAATAAACCGACTACAAATTCATTGTGTCTTAAAAACATCATATATTTTGTTTAAGGACATACTGGATAGTAATTTAAATTATAATGAGTAAATAAAATAGAATTAGAAATTTTAAGCTTAGTGCTTTTATTTTAAAGGCTAAGAAGAAGAAGAAGAAGAAGAAAAGTAAGTAAATAAATACATATTTTTTCAAATATCAAATTCATTTTAAATTGTCGTGGACAAAAGGATACAACACAATGGAATTTAAATTTTATATTTCATTATTACTTGTTTGCAAAGCTTATGGGACACCATTTTGGGAAAAACTAGATAAAAAAGGTCTTGCAATAAACCAAATCTCAAAAAATATTCAATTTAAATTAAAATTACCGAATAGTAATGGTATGTTACAAGTAAATATTTCATTATTATTACTTAAACAAAGTGAGCCTCTTTTAACGCATTATGAAGAAGAAATTGAAGTGTTGTCAATAACGTCATCATCGTCGTCCTCATCATAAACCCTCATTATAGAGATAATACAACCATCTCCAACCAGTATAACAACCACACCATCGTCTATAGTTGACCTTATAACTGAAGGGAAGCTCATGAGAAATTTTACTATTGATGAAGCTATAGAGGCATTTCGTAGAGAGATTATTGAAAAGGAATCTGATATTGGAGGAATCATTGAGGCAAAACAACATTTTATCGACATTTCAAATTGGAATATGATAATTTTGATATACCGAATCGTTGTACTTATGACTGTAGATATATTGAAAAACTGTTGAGTATCAAGTGCTTTGAACATCGTGAAATTGAAACTGAACGAATTCTAAGGAACATTGAAAAGGTTCTAGTCCAGGATAATTCATAAAAAAGACTAAATGTAGAAATAATTGATGTTAAAAACTATATACAAACATGTAATATGGTCATTGTATAACGTATGTTAGACGTTTATAGAAAAAATATGAAATTGACTCATTTAATAAAAATTCGACTACTACACCTGTTGTATTTAAGTTATGGAACAAGCTACTACCATAATAAATTTATGGATCAAAATCAAAATATGAGCAGCTTTAGAAATTTTGAAAATAGTAAACAGGCTAGTTTTGAATACAATATTCCAAACACTTCGTTACGTTTTAAAATAAATATAACAATTTAATTGATAGATAAAAGTTACCCTGAGCAGAACGCATCATTAATAAAAACAACAACAATAACAACGCAAAGTCCTTGGGGATATTTAAGAGCAACTTATTCTGACCAAATGAGTCGTATAATGCGAAAAGAAGTATATAAACCATACTCGATGCTATTGACGCTTTTAAAAAAGATTTAGTTGGGTAGGAAAAGAGAATTGGATTTATTCTTGCAAATCCCGGTGTTTTCCATCGACATTTCAATTTAGTTTACGATAATTGTGAAATTCGAATTAAATGCTCCTATTATAGCAATTATGTAAAGCGTACTCTAAATATCTATTGCTTGAATTTTCGGAAAACAATACGGAGAAATTACATGAACGAGAAGCATTAATAATGATTCATATTTTTTGTTTGTAATCATCTCTTAAAATTAGTATTATAAAATTCCTTTCCATCATCTGCTTGTAAGTTTTTCGGTATTCGGTTACTTGAGTTTAAAATCTTAGCCATTGCATTTGTTACATTTTCTTTAGTTTTATTTTTAACTGCTTCGACCCAAGCTTTTTTGGAAAATGTATCGATTACAGTTAAAAGATATTGATATTGATTATTACTATTTGAATACTGAGTCATATCCCCCAAGTCAGCTTGACATGGATCATCGATTCCTATAATAATAACACGTCTTCGTTTAAACCTTTGTCTAGCTTGTTTAGGTAATTCTTTTACAAAAGCTCTTTTATTATTTATTTTGCTAATTCTTTTATAGTTGGGAACTTTATTTTTAGCCCTTCAACGTCTTTTTCAGTAGGATGTTGTTTCGACACAATGAAACGCATCAAATAATCCTCAATAGTTAATAAATAGTTATTTATATTATGTACAAGTAATTCTTCACCACATGCACTTTTCATTCCTGGGTCTATTAGATCCCCAATAATTGATACATAATTTTTAATACTATTATTCAGAATTACATTTATTACTCTGATTTAATGTTCCAATTTGTTTAATGTTTCTAAAAGGAATACCTTCGAAATCGCATCATCGTCTTCTATAGGAGCAGCTAGGCTAATTGTTCTTTCCTTGTTTAAATTAAGATTTTTGTTTCGGGCTAGAATTGTTTTCTTTTTTGACCGATTATTGTTAAATGAGGAATGACCAAATTTATTTATACTCATACTTAATAATATTTGCTTCCCGCAACTCTTCAATAATTGATATAATCTCGTTTTGATGGTTGTTATGACCGGCACTTGTTGATTATAAAATCAATCTCAATCTATCCACCAACTCATTAGGATTATCCCAATATTGATAAATATTTTTGCGGCAATCAATTGATTTCAATAAACCTCTACCATGTATAAAGCATTTTAAGATCTTTAAGCAGTTTTATGTTTTGTAATAGTGAATGGGGGTGAGTAAGCTAAACCCGTTTAAAGGCTTCATTTAGTTGATTTTCAGACTGACATGGTCATTATAGATATGCTTAAGATTAATTTCATCTTGCAATGAAATGCATAATCATGTTTGCATTATCACGATTTAAGGGTTTAGGAATTTTTGTATAAGTTTGACATACAAGTATTGTACTTTGTTTTCCACATATTACATCATCGAATATAAAAATTGAATCCGGTTTGACTTCAGTGGGCTTGATAACATCAACGTTTTCACTAAATGTATAAAGATTTATTCCTTTTATCGGATCAATAAGCTTTTATAAATAGATATATTTCGGCTGATATAATGATTTTGAATAAATGTATATATTTCGGAAATTAGGCCCGTTTGGGCTTTCAATTAAACTGAGCATAACATTAGTTTTTCCACAAATCGATGGTCCTACAATCAGCGCTCGTATGGAATTCGGTAAAAGTGCGCTATGTCTAGAAACATTTTTAACAATTTTATAATTGTCAGCATTATTAACCGTAAGTTAGAGACGACTACATTCATTTTGTTCACTAGATTTTCAGCAATATAAACCATCACTTTTATAATAAAGACATCATTTAGATATAACTCACCCATATTATTATTGAGAGAAAAAAAATCACCTAATGGGACTACCACATAGAAAGAGGTTAAAAAAGGGTTTTGTAAATATTTTGATTAATTCTTTGCCTATGGAACAAAACTCTGACAATGGTTAGAAAGAGGAGATACAGGTATAAATCCTTTAAATGCCAGCCTGCAGCCTGCAGAGAACATGATATAGAATATTCCCAAGCAAAAGATATAAAGATCAGACACCAAGCTGATAAAGTTTTATCTGAGAATGCCTGGCAGCGTGTTACATCTAAGGACAGTGATTTCAAAGAACGAGCTAACGCTTATTTCGTTACAAATGCAATGAAAGCAAAACTCAAATTGGGAATGGGTATTAAACGTAAGAAAAGAAAGACATCTAAGTGTAAAAAACGCAAAAAGTTGAAAAAAGGAAAAGTGTCATCTAACAAATTTTTTTTGGTGGCAGTTAAAAAAGTTATCAACATGCTTAACAAAAAAAAGCCGCAGTCATTTAATGGGCCTTATTAAATTTCTCAGGCTTCTTGGCTTTAGAAGACATCCGAAATCTGCATACAAAGTAAATGGAACATACATTTGTTTTTTGAAATTTTAAAATTTTAATATATTTTTTTCAGGTTTAGGCATATGTGTTTCAATTTTTCTACAATGCATTTTATGAATCAATAATTCTTCTTCCTTATAAAAATGTATTAGACACGTATTACAAATATATATTTTTTTTTCAAATAAACATTTAGTTTAACTATTTACACCATACATACAATTTTCTTTATGTATGTTTGTTCTCACGTGTGCTTACCATATATTTTCTTTCTCTTCGATTTTACATTGCTTACAAAAAATTATTATTTTTTAAACTTGATGTTCCATTGTAATATGTTTGCTTAAACTCCTTTTCCGAGCATATATCTTTTCACAAAAACTACACGGATACATTTAATTTATTTTATTATTATTTTTTATACTGTATGAAATTCAAATAACGGTGAAGTAAATTTTTCAACAGGTTTAATTAATTCGGTATAAAATGTATTATCGTTTATGGCTTCAATAGTTGAATCTATTAAGGAGTTTTAGGATTCCGGAAGAAAAAGAACATTTTCGTCTAGTTCTAGCATCACCTTGTCACCAAACTTTGTCTTCACTTTTATGGCTTTTAATACTCTCAATTTTTTATTGATTAGTACATCAGTCGCCTTTAATATAGGTTTTTTAACTTTTCCTTTCTCTTTGCCATCGCTCACATTTAAAAAATGTGTGTTCAGCGACGTCTTCAGTCGCATCGTTGTATAGGCATGACGGCTCTTCAACTTTCCCTATTCTGTAGAGGTACTTTTTGAAGTATCCATGACCGAATAGTTGCTATGTTAAGTTTAGGTCTCTTCTAAGTCTGGCCGTCCATCTGCCGCGACTCTCATTCTCCCATCTTCGTTGCCATGCTGATATCGTATCTTTCTTTCTTTGGTCTAATGCGCTCTTATTGTATTCAGACATTTTCTTTAGCTCCCACAGTTTTTTATTTTGGTATGATAGAAGGTCAATTGTGACATTACCGCTTCTAACTAATATTGCATCACCTGACACTGTCCCGGTCGCTCTGCAGCGATTTTTTTAAGGACTTCTGCTGGGATCCCGTCCGGTCCGGGTGATTTATTAGTTTTGAGCTTTCCAGTGGCCAGTTGCAGCTCTTCGAGGGTGAACTGGGGGATATGTGGAAGTCTTGTTGTTTGTTCTGGATCACTAATCCTGTTTTCGTGTGTGGGGAAGAGAGCGCTTACGATGTGATCCATTTTGGCAGCGGTTAAATTAGGCGCTTTTGCTCGAACTCCGAGTTTTTTCATTACTATTTGGTACCCAAGTCCACAGGGGTTTTTGTTGACGTCCCGCGTAGTTCCTCCCATTTCTTGTTTTTGCTCTCATCGATGGCATGCTTGATATTGCTCAGCTTCTCGGGATGCGGCTCCTCTTCGCCTGGATCTCAAATACGATCTACGAAGGCGAAGGCATGTCTGTCTGAGTTGGGCGATATTTTCTGTCCACCAGTAAACTGCTGCTTTATGTTTTCTGCAGGAAGCCTAGCATCGATTTGTGACATGCTCTTGTTATGTTAAGCATTGTGTGCCCTACAACTTTTCTTGCAATTTTGGGGAGCTGCTAGATGGGTTATGGTCGTCTATTGCGGAAATTAATTTCGAAGTGCTAATTACAGTGTAAAGGTCGCATTTAACCCATACGAAACCGTTGCCGTTCCCTTTACCTTCTGTGCCAACATTACTGCCTGGCGGTAGCCATATAGGTGCGGTTGAGCTGCTATCTTCTAACCAGGTTCCGCTCTCCTTCTTTTTATATTGCTCGCTTATGATGATTAAGTCGTAACCGAAGCTTCTGGTCACCATTTTTGAGAGTAAAGCGTCAGCAACCTTGCATCTATGCATATTGCCCTGTAGAATATTAATTTATTCTAATTTATATGCCTTGGAACAAGTGGGGTGCTTATAGTATATACTTGTAGATTAGGTATGTATTTTGCGGCTTGTTGGTATATATCGTGCACTAAAAATTATAGTTCCGTAAACCAGAAATTTCGCCCTACTACTAGCCTACTTTATAATTTTTATACTCTCGCAACCTGTTGCTACAGAGTATACTAGTTTTGTTCACCTAATAGTTGTTTGTATCACCTAAAACTAATCGAGTTAGATATAGGATTACATATTATATATTAGGTAAAGTAAAAAGTTCGTTCGGTTTTTTACTGATTTTTCAAAAGATTATAGCTTTGTGTGCATTTGTCCGATTTAAGTCAAATATATGCCGCTTTGTTCACAAACTTGTTGCCAACGAGATGCCAACTTCATTATACCCCTCTCGTAGAAGACTGCGAAAAAATTCGGAGAGCCAATTTTCACAGGCCTCTCTTGAGGCCAACTTCTCACCATTAAGCGCGTTCGCCATGGACAGGAAAAGATGGTAATCACTTGGTGCCAGGTCCGGACTACAAGGTGGGTGCATTAGAACCTCCCATCCGAGCTCCAGGAGCTTCTGGCGAGTCACCAAAGACGTGTGTGGCCTGGCGTTGTCCTGATGGAACACAATTCGGCCTCTGTTGATCAAAGACGGCCTCTTCTGGATGAGTGCTGCCTTCAAGCGGTCCAGTTGTTGGCAGTAGAGGGCCGAATTGAGCGTTTGGCCATAGGGGAGCAGCTCGCAGTAGTTGATTCCTTGCCCATCCCACCAAACACACAGCAAAACCTTCCTGGCCGTTAATCAGGTCTTGACCACCATCTGGGCCGCTTCCGCGAGCTTTGACCACGACCGTTTGCGCTCGATGTTGTCGTAAGTGACCCATTTTTCATCGCCAGTCACAATCCGCTTCAGAAATGGGTCGATTTTGTTGCGATTCGCAGATGGAAATTCGGCCCATCATGTTTTTTTGCGTTAGTTCGTGTGGCACCCAAACATCGAGCTTCTTTTTGAATCCAAGGTTATGCAAATGGTTCCAAACGGTTTTCTGGCTTATCTTTAGTTCCTCAGCAATTAAAAAAGTGCTCACGTGACGGTCTGTTTCCACTATTTTCATGATTTTATCGCAATTTTCGACGACAGGCCTCCCGACGCGTGGTGCATCTTTGACATCAATATTACCGGAACCGAACCTAGCAAACCACTTTTGTGCTACACATTCGTTTACAGTATCGGGCCCATAAACTAAATTAATTTTTTCAGTCGCTTTGGCTGCTTTTTCGCCTTGATCGAGGAAAAATTGTAAAATATAGCGAATTTTTTCTTTGCTGGTGTCTATCTTTGACGAGCGCTCACAACGTACTGAGTCAATCAATCGAAAAACTGTCAAAGAGAAACTTTTAGTACGAATAAACACGTTTTCAGCACCGTATGGTATGATATTATGCGACACGTAACACTAATACTATGGACAATAACGCCATCTCTTAAAAACCGAACGAACTTATTACTTTACCTAATATATTATATAAATGATCAGGATGAAGAGACGAGTTGAAATCTGTCCGTCCGTCCGTCCGTGCAAGCTGTAACTTGAGTAAAAATTGAGATATATTTATGAAACTTGGTATAAATGCGGATGGGCGTAATCGGATCACTGCCACGCCCATAAAACGCCTTTAGTAAAAAACAAATAAATTGCCATAACTATGCTCAACAATAAGATACAAGACTGTTATTTGATACACAGGATCACATTAGGGAGGGCCATCTGCAGTTTAAGATTTTGTGCGTGGTCCCGCCCCCTAATAGGTTTAATGTGCATATCTCCTAAACTGCTAAAGCTATAATAACAAAATTCACTGGGAACAAATGCTTTTAGCACCCCTATCGACAGTTTGAAAATAGGTGAAATCGGGTGATAACACCGCCCACTCCCCATATAACGGTACTGTTAAAAACTACTAAAAGCTTTATGGGAACCACTTTTAAAATTAGACAGTGGGTGTGGCACCGCCCACTTTTAGGTGAAAACCCATATCTTGCGATCTGATTAACCGATTTCAACCGAATTCAGTGCGTAACATTCTTCTTGTATTTTGATGTTATTGTGCGAGTTCTATCTGTTTACATTCTATCTGATTTCTTCACTTTCCACTATGAAAATCAAGCAACAATGATTATATCTGTCACCGATGAGGGGGGGCGAATTTAACGCATATTTGGTTTATGGTTTATTTCTAAATACACAAGCATTTAAATTATGCACTTATAAAGAATTATAATATATTTCACTCACCGCAGTGTGTCCTTCCACCTTCCTGGTTGGCTGATCGATGACAAAGCTCGAATATGATTTGCCAGAACTTATATGCACAAATATTGTCATTTACCGTACAGATCAGTACAAGAGAATAGGAAAACTGCACACTCCAGTTTAAAAACAACAAGCATGTAGATAACTTAACATATTTAGTTTGTGCCTACCTGTTTATGCGAAGAGGAAGGAGAATGGCAAACATATAAATCGTACAAACAAGGAGACAGAAACTGTATAGCGGGAAATGTATGTACCTATGTAAATGGAATGCGAGAGAATTCAAGAGCATATAAAGAAATTGGAATTAAAACATACAACTGTAAAATAAACATAGAAATTAAATATAATATTAGGGTGGGCCCGAATATACAACATCACCGCCCCCGTGAATCAACCTGATTCACCACCATCAATGTCCAGAACAGCAAGTTTTGGGACTGCGCGTCGTTTCACACCTCTGGAAGTTCGTATGTCTGCTCGCCGCACCTCTCCATCAAGCCCAGGGTACACTCGCTCTACTTTCCCTCGGCATCATTCTCACCTTGGAACATTAGGCCCGCATATGAATACCAAGTCTCCTTCTTTCATCGGCTTCGTTCGTTGGCACCATTTTACTCGGCGAGTCAATGTAGGAGGATATTCAGTAATACACCTGTCCAAAAATGATCCGTTAATTGACGAGCGATCCGCCACTGCTTGCGCGATACAAAAGTTTTTTCCAAGTCTATGTCTACTATCGGAGTGTGTGCTACATTTGCGGCTCCCAGAATGAAATCATTATGAGTTATCGGCTGCTCCTGGTCCGCGGTGATGGGCAAATGCGTTAGTGGCCGAGAATTACCGATGTTCTCAGCTTTAATAAGAAAACTATTCAGGGTATGCTCCCTTGGTGCAACTTCTTTCAAAGTGTGACATAAAACTCGCTTGACACACTGTACCATTCTCTCCCATGCACCACCTTCCGATGGATTAAATGGTGAATTAAATACCCACTGGATATTTTTCTGTGATAATTCACTTTGTAGACGTACGCAGTCGAATACTTCTGTGAATCGCTTGGCTTTTCGGTCAGCAGCAACGAAATTTTTTCCATTGTCCGACCTAATCCTTAAGGGCATACCTCGTCGGTTCACAAAATTAGGTATAGCAATGATACAGGAGTCGGTTCTCGTAAAGCACGTAAATAGTGCCCCCCATCTCTTCTCAGTGCTGCGTCGAACAGTGATAGTTAGTGGCCCAAAGTAATCGAGTCCTGTGTAGCTAAACGGTCTCATATAGGGAGTGAGTCTGTCACATAGGGATTGAGCAGTCCCACCCATGGAGCTACCGGGGCAACTTTATTTAAACGGCATACACCACAACTGGTAATCACACTACGCAACAAACTTCTTTAGTCGCGGCAGCCAATAATTGCGACGGATATCTCCAATGGTAGCTTCAGCTTTGGTATGGCGTATTTAACAACCTCTGGTAGTTGTTTACGCCACTTCTCCCAGACAGTGTTAATGTCATTTGGCAACGGGTCGTTCCACTGGATGTCGTGTTTCCGTAACTCACGCATAAGTAGTTTGGCGCCAATGACGAAGTTGCTCAAAAATCCTAGAGGGTCGAAAATCGACATAACAATGCTTAGGAGTTTTCTTTTAGTGGGAGGTCTTTCTCCATTTACCACTGCTTCACCAACATTATGGAATTTCAATTTAAAATCGAAACAATCTGACGATGACTGCCAAAACAAACCAAGTACCTGCTCTCCATCGAAACCTTCTTTATTATCAATTGGACGTGGGACATTGGATGTAAAATTGCGAAGCTCAAAACCAGCATCCATATAAATCGCTCGGACCTCTTGGGTTATAGAAATGGCCTCCTCTTCCGAGCAGAAGCTATCAACGAAGTCATCGACATAGTGGTGGTCCAAAATCGCCTTAACCGCACGGGCAGTGGTTCTGCGATCATTTTGGTGCTCCAATGCGTTTACCTTTTTGACATAATCTGCGGCACATGGTGAACAGGATGAGAGGCGTCACCACCACGCCAGAGAAACCGCTGTGCGCATCTATCGCCTTTTCGTATAAGGACTTGGGATGTTCCTGAGATGTTCCACATTGATGTCTCCCCATACGGCGATCGCGTCTTCACGAGAGTGGAATAATATCGACGGCAATGGCCGATATTCTAGTGGACCCTTCAGGGTTTGTTGGGATTGGCAACGGCAAAGTGCGGCAAATACCAAGTCTTAGGTATAGATATAGCTGCTTCTACTGGTGAAAATTTACGGGCATATTTCTTTCTGACGTAGGCGTTCATGATGACCTTGTATTGAGTGGCGAAAATTGCATCGCGACGTATTCTTTGCTCTACGTTGACTAGATGTTTCAACGCCATGTTGTAGCTGTCAGGTAATCTTATTGGCAATGAATGGACCATGCGGGTTTACCTTCATAGTTGTCGATGGCAATCCCAAATGGCAATGATCAAGACCAATCAAGAGTCTGGGCCTGACCTGGGCATAAGGTTTTACTGGAAGCCGGTTTACATGTTTAAAGTTGTGATCCAAATCGTCCTTGCTTAAACTCTGTAGAGGAAGCTGCAAGTTGGATACTGCATACACATTGCGGAGTATGTATTGTTTCTGCATACCGGCACCACTAATAAGCAAGTCTACCACAAACGTTGACTCCTGCGCGGCATGTCCTCCAAACCACTGAACATTCAAATGCTGCTCACATCCACGCATTCCTAAGTCTCGAACAAGAGCACTGTCTACTGTTAGTGTTACATCATCACAGCCTCATGTACCACCAGAGCTTAGAAGCTACCATTGAAGATATCCGTTGCAATTATGGGGTGCCGCGACTAAGAAGTTTGTTGCGTAGTGTGATTACCAGTTGTGGTGTATGCCGTTTAAATAAAGCTGCCCCGGTAGCTCCATGGATGGGACTGCTCAATCCCTATGCGACAGACTCCCTCCCTATGTGAGACCGTTTAGCTACACAGGACTCGATTACTTTGGGCCACTAACTGTCACTGTTCGACGCCGCACTGAGAAGAGATGGGTGGCACTATTTACGTGCCTTACTGTGCGAGCTGTGCACCTAGAACTGACTCATGGCTTGAGAACCGACTCCTGTATCATTGTTATACGTAATTTTGTGAACCGACGAGGTATGCCCTTAAGGATTAGGTCGGACAATGGAAAAAATTTCGTTGGTGCTGACCGAGAAGCGAAGCGATTCACAGAAGTATTCGACTGCGTACGTCTACAAAGTGAATTATCACAGAAAAATATCCAGTGGGTATTTAATTCACCATTTAATCCATCGGAAGGTGGTGCATGGGAGAGAATGGTACAGTGTGTCAAGCGAGTTTATGTCACACTTTGAAAGAAGTTGCACCAAGGGAGCATACCCTGAATAGTTTTCTTATTGAAGATGAGAACATCGTTAATTCTTGGCCACTAACGCATTTGCCCATCACCGCGGACCAGGAGCAGCCGATAACTCATAATGATTTCATTCTGGGAGCCGCAAATGTAGCACACACTCCGATATCAAGAGTAGTAGATATACTTGTATGTAATTGTATTTCGCTTCATGCCCGATATATAACATTGAAAAAAACACACAAAGAAATGGTTCAAGAATATATAAAAAATTATTTTATTTTATAATGATTTAATTGTAATAACATATTTATGGGAATCACATTAAGGTGGAGTAATGGATTCTGAAAATTATGGAAATTTTGATAGTGATCAACAAATGTTCAATTTTATATTTGATTCAGAAGAATTCGATAAGATGTTACAAAGTTTCAATGAGGAACAGTTTAATAAGCCGCTTCAAAAACTAGAAGAGCTCGCTCAATCCCTTCAAGGTACAACTGAAGTAAAGACACATGTGTTAAATAAGCGTAAGAGAAAACGACCTGTAAAGATAATACAAGATAAGGGTTCTCCACAAAAAGTCACCCAACTAAAAGCTAACACTGCAAATGTAAATAATTATATTGATCTTTGTGAATCAACACCAGCAACTGTTCCTATAAATGGGAGTTTAGACACTAAAGGGAAATTTTATTTTAAATAGTAAGATGAAAGAAGATCCCTCATTTGAAGTTAATGTTAAAAATGATGGAGATGTTCAGATATTAAAACTTTTAATACAACAGTGGTTTGATGATGAAATTAGAGCGGATGATATTGATTTAGAATGCACTCAAACTTCCACAGTGGTTAAATGAACTAAGCCTCCCCCTCGCATATATGTATACACCAACCAAACAGGTACATTATTAGCACACCCTAATAATACACACCACTCCTGAGAACCACACTTCGAGCCATAGTGAGCGGCACTATGGATTAAAAACAAAAAATATATATATATATAATTATATATTATATAACTATATATAACTTAAGTGAAAAAAAAGTGCTACGAAGTGGCAAAAACGTTAATACTTGTGTATACACACAAACGGAAAAAAAATACACATATATGAAGAGAAAACTTAAATAGAACAAAAAAAAACAAAAAAAAAGTGCAGTGAAACAAAACAGTACGGTATACAAAAATAAACAAAAACAGCAACAAGTTGCGAAAGTATAAAAAAAAAACAACAAGCTAAGCTATAGTGACAGAATGGATAACAAAAAAACAAACGAAAAGAGTGCAGTGAAAGAAAAAGTGGTGTTATTAAAGAAAAAACAAAAAAGTACACATATGTATATTTACACATATAACTAAAATAGTGTTAGCTAAAACCAAATATAGTGACACATATAAATATGTACATATATATAATATAATGCAAAAGTGCGAAGAAAAATAATAAAAAAAAAAACAAGAAAAAAACATATTGACAAACAAGTATACATAAAGTGCGTGCCAAAAACAAAAAATACAAACATTTTAACCAACTAAAACACAAACCGGGCGCGAAACCCAAAGGCAAAATAAAAATAAAAACAAAATAAACGGGCGCGATCATTTAAACAAGGAATTAAACATACAAACACACGTCCTATAAAAGAGCCCCTTGAGGCACATGAAAGTGAGCGTATTCATTCTATTTTATGTTACTTTATTATATGCATATATTGTATATATAATATATATATATATATATATATATACTAATATAAAATTGGCTATTTCAAATACCGTTTTTACGCCATAATAAAGCGGTTACCAAACTGTTATAAGTTTCTTTTCAATTTACGGAAAACCGAAAACAGTTTGGTACAATATATGTTTCGAAATATATAATATTTACAAAATTCAATATATAATTACTAATGCCTATAAGCTTACCTTTGTGTTTTCACACTTATTTCACAAACACAAAAAACAAAAACAGAATTAAAGTATTTACTTGGTAATATTTTCCGGCAATACCCCTTATTTTTAACAAAAACAGTAAGCAGGATTGCCTAAAATAAGTAAGCAAAGGCACAAACATATAACAAAAATTTAAAGACAAAGAAAGAGAAACAAAATAAATACAAACGACATATAATATTTATATATTTACAAAAGCCAAGTACATATTTACATCCATATATGTGCATACGGAGAATACCTCCACATTATTAATTCCTTTTTCGCGTTCTCTTTCTATTGCAAAACATAGAAGCCCAGTTATCCATACATACGGCATACAATCTACCTATATTTTTATACCATACTCAACATTGGGTAATATTAAATTATTAAAAATTTAAACATTCAATAAAAAGTGATTTTCAAATTGCGAATTCAAAGTCAAGAGGCAAGTTCAGGCATCCATCTCGAGGTGCCCGCATGTGACACAGAAATATTTTATGGAGATTATGAACAATGGCCGTCCTTCCGAGACATGTTTACTGCCGTTTACATAAACCATCCAAAATTAACAAATGCACAAAAATTGTATCACCTCCGATACAAAACAAAAGGTCAAGCAGGCGTAATAGTAAAACAGTTCGCACTAAATGACGATAATTTCAATTTGGCTTGGAAAGCTCTAAAAGCAAGATATGAAAATGAAAGAATATTGGTCGATAAACAAGTAACGACACAATAAACTTGCCTAAAATTCAAAAAGAAACAAGTGAAGAATTTATTAGACTACAATCCACTGTTTCTAATTGTTTGTCGGTTTTATCGACACAAAATATTCCCACAAACAGCTGGGACCCTATACTGGTAAACATATGCACCGCTGCATTACTAGAAAAATCGTTACTTTTGTGGGAGCAATCGCTCTCATGACGAAAGAAATGCCCCACGTGGCAACAAATGAAAGACTTTCTAACTACCCAGTACGAAATCGCTGAAAGGGTAGATAAAAAACTAATTAAACAAAAATTGTTCAACACGCCCTAAAAAGAAGATTCAATAGACCCCAAGCTAGTAGCAAAAACAAATTAAGCAGAACCTTGTACGAAACGCAATCGTTCACATCCGAACAGAACAATCATACGTCATGCGAACTATGCACGAGAGGGCATAAACTACAATCTTGCGAGATATTTAAAAAATTAAAAATTCACGAAAGAAACAATTTTATAAGATCAAAAGGACTTTATTCAAATTGCTTGTCACATGCGCATAAGTATACAAATTGCAAAAGCAAATTCAATTGCTTATATTGTCACAAAAGACACCACTCAATGCTCCATTACAGCAAATTTCCCATATCACTCCAAAGAAGCGCTTATACAAAAAGAACCACAGGTTTAGCTGTAATAACAACTCCTAAAAACCAAAATCCCGAAAATTGTTAAGAAGCACCATGCTGTTTAAAGGCAATAAAAACCCAAACGCTACACACCGAAAATCAAAGTAGAGTACTATTACCCACAGCAGTCGTCTCCATCGAACACCGAGGAGAACTGCTAAAACTTAGGGCCTTAATAGACCAAGGATCACAACGATCATTCTTAGCGTCTAGGGCACAAAATAGGCTACAACTGCCATCAAAACAATCGAATTTTGAAATTACGGGAATGGGCGGAAGAGTAGTCCAAAACTCAAATAAAATCTGCCCCATTACCCTAATTTCCCCCCAAGCGGATAAGCGAATTGTAGCAGAAGCTATAGTCATTCCGCAACTTACTAACATGCTTCCAAGCTATCACGTAAATAGCAAGCATTGGCAAAAGGTTTCACATGTAAAGTTAGCAGATCCCAACTGCAACGCCCCCGCTCAAATAGACAATCTATTAGGCAGCGATCTCATACCTCAGATAATACTAGAGGGTGTTGAGAAAATTTCAAACACACTATTGGCACAAAATACTATTTTCGGTTGGATCCTAAGTGGACTAGTTACGGAACCAGTTACCACTATGACAACTCAAGTTGAGGGAATCTCAAACGAATACCTCAATTCACAATTGAAAAAATTTTGGGAGTTAGAGAACCCCCTCATATCAATTACAACACCAAAAGATCAGTATTGTGAAGACTTCCACAAAGCCACAACTACTTGATGAAATAATGGCCGGTACGTCATACGACTACCACTAAATTCCCAATGTTCCAACACTCCACGAATTGGCAGAAAAAACCAAGTCAGAGTCCCTTCTGACAAGATCAGGTTTAAAAACACAAATATGTAACTTTTCGACCCCGCAGGATGGCTCTTGCCAATACTACTACGGTACTACTTGCCAAAATCGCACTTAACATAACATATAACAAAATTGTCCTAAGAAAGTGGAAAAATCGACACCTCTCTTACTAGAGTGCCTCATAGTTGTCAACATTTTCATAACGTATATAACTTCAAAAATAAAGTTAAGGGATCATCATACTTACAATGTGATACAGTGACGCACCCAGACTTACAAAAAGTAAAGGTCGCACTTATCGCAACTATCTAAGCGCTCATCAAACGGGTAGTTTATGGGAAAAACTTGTAAAAGTTGTAAGTCTCACTTCAAAAAAGTGGGTGAAAATCATAAATCTCACTCTCGCAAGATCCCTCTTCAAATGTTTTCAAAGGAGCATTCATTCTGGCCATATCTGAGCCAGGCGTGGAGTCGCCATCCTCATAAGCTGATAATAAAGAGATTGCAAATAATTGCTGATAATACAGAAAAGGTAAATCATAAACAATCCGCATAAAGAAATCGATAAAAGGAAAAATCGTAAATACAATCACTACCTATTGTATTGCCAACTATAAAACCAAAAAATTGTCAGAATATAGTTGCGTATCTCAAGTCTATACCAAAATACAAATCGATTAAAACCAAAATTGCTTCGCGCCCTCGGCTACTCCATCAACAGCACGCCGAAATGCATAATACAGCCCATATGTGTAATACTAGGCAAAATATTCGCCTAGGGAGCCCAGGACGGTTAATTGAGCTAAGCCTCCCCCTCGCATATATGTATACACCAACCAAACAGGTACACCCTAATAATACACACCACTCCTGAGAACCCCATACAGGGTGTACACTCATTCGTTATATATCATTCGTTTCGTCTACGGGCCTGAGCGCCAAGTCAACATTTGATACAAAAGCTCCTGTGTGCAACTTTTCGATCGACCGCCGTCATCGTAAACCTGCGAAGTGAACATCGTTTTTTCGACTCTTTCTCTGCGGAATTTTTAATTTAATTTGTTAAAGTTCAATTTACTTGTGTTAAAAGATCTTAATAAATTTTAAATTTGTAAACTTTTTTCATCACATTTTCTTTGCTTTATTCGGAAATAAGTGTTAAAGGCTTGGTGCAAATTAGTATCAATTTAATCACACAGAAAAACATAATATTAGCTGTGATGTTGAAAGGATCCGTGAAGATTAACTTCTTAAAGAACTTTTAGGAACTGTATATAAATATAAATATAAAGGAATTGTTGAATTTACCCTTACTAAGCTCTTACAAAAACGTTTATATGCATTTATTCAATTTAGTTGTAATAAATCATTTTTATTAATAAATGTAAAATTATTTTAAATTTGAAATAATATATGAATATACAAAAGAAAAATATAATTAAAACAATTCTGTTTCTTTTATTATTTTACATTCATCAAAATTGACTGCAACAAGAAATTGTGTGGCATATGTAGCGCAATGTTCACCTT